AACATGGGTTGATTAACATTTGGAGCACAGATTCCCCATCATGCAGTGCTTCCCTGCTTCTCTGGTCCCAGAATTCACTGCAGTCTCTGCTTCAGGCTTTCTGTTCTCCATCTCTCATGTAAATGAATGATCATCTGGTTCCATCTCGGATGCAAATGAGAGCTAGGGCAGTTAGTTCACTCTTGTCACCCTTATCTGGAGGGTCTTAAATCAGTTTCGTTTATGTAGAGGAGGGGAGGGAAGGGGAATTCTTTGTGAGTCACACAGACTTCATCCTGTGCCCCAAGAACACAGAGCTAAGATGTAACATCAGTGCCTGCTGTAGAACCTGAAATTTCCATTATTTCAGTGATCTGGCTCAAATCACTAGACTATATGACATATGCAATAATCCAAATTCACAAAACCTTGACCTGATATTCTATTACATCTTTGCCTTCTCTATACTTCTGCCTTTTCTGGTCTTTATGATCTGGAGATACACTATAGGACAATATAAAGGTAGTTTGGTGCACAGTTGTGTAGTACTAACACTTATCTTCTGGGTTAGTGATGAAAAATCCATATGACAATATAAGAAGTCAACCTCAAGCCAAAATGCTGTCTCTCTACTGGATATAATATTTAATGATCAGATATACTTCCTACATTTTCCCCACATATAGCATCATAGACAATTAGGGCTGGAAGGGACCTCAGGAGGACAACTAGTCCAACCCCCTACTCAAACCAGGACCACCTCAAACTAGATCATCCCAGCCAAGGCTTTGTCCAGTCTAAAAATCCTACAAGGATGGAGATTACACAACCAGTCTAGATAACCTGTTCCAGTGCTTTACCACCCTCCTAGCAAGAAAGTTTTTCCTAACATCTTACCAAAACTTCCCCTGCTGCAACTTGAGACTATTGTTCCTCGTTCTGTCACCTGCCACCACTGAGAACAGTCTAGCTCTGCCCTCTTTGGAACCCCCTTCAGGTAGTTGAAGGATGCTATTAAATCCCCCTTCAGTCTTCTCTTCTCCACTCTAAATAATCCCAGCTCCCTCAGCCTGACCTCATAAATCATGTTCCTCAAGTCATGTGCCCCAACCCCTCAAACATTTTCATTGCCCTCTCCTGGACTCTCTCCAATTTGTCTACATCCTTTCTGTGGTGGGGGGCTCAAAACTGGACACAGTACTCTAGATGTGGCACCACCAGAGCTGAATAGAGGGAGAGAATCAATTCCCTCAATCTGGAGGCAGCATTCCTACTAATGCAGCCCAGCATGCCATTAGTCTTCTTTGCAACAAGTACACACTTTTGGTTCATATTCAACTTATCCACTATAACCCCCAGGTCCTTTTCTGCAGAGCTGCTGTTTAGCCAGTTAGTCCCCAGCCTGTACCAGTGCATGGGATTGTTCTGTCCTAAATACAGGACTATTCACTCCTCCCTATTCATAAGGATTCACTTCTTCCTATTGATAAGGACCTCATTATATTTCTTTTAGTCCAATCCTCCAGTTTGTCTAGGTCTCTCTGAATCCTAGCTCTTCCTTCCAGAGAGTGTATCTACTACTCCCCCAGTTTGGTGTCACCTGCAAACTTGCTGACAATGCTATCCATTCCATCTTCCAGGTCACTGATGAGAAAAAGGTCTCACAACACAATCAACAGTTTGAAAGGTTTTAGACAAAGAGATGCAGAATGTTAAACATGCACTCAAAATGACAGTTTAGATCTGTGGGCCGGTGTAGCATATATACTTGTCTCATGACAACTACTACTACTATCATTATTAGTTTAACTAATAAATGAATCAATATAAAATAATAAAATCACTAGTATATAATAAAATTATAGCATTATAATAATAATTCATATAAATTACCATGGATGCCTTAATGGATTGGTTTAGTTCAGCATTCATAAACTTCATAGATTTCATAGGCATTAGGGCTGGAAGGGACCTAAGAAGATCATTGAGTCCAGCCCCCTGCCCCAGGGGCAGGAAGGATCCCAGCAAGATAGGTGTCCAAATGTTTCTTAAAAGGAGTCTAGAGTAGGTGTTTGCACCACATCTGTGGGAAGTCTATTCCAGGCCTTGGGGACTTGGACAGTAAAGCAGCTTTTCCTTATGTCCAGCCTAAAATGGTCTTGTAGGAGTTTGTGACTGTTTGACCTTGTCATCCCTTGGGGCGCTCTGGAGAACAGGCATTCCCCCAGATCCTGGTGAACACCCCTTATGTACTAATAGGCAGCTACCAGGTTCCCCCTAACCCTACGCTTTTCCAGGCTGAAGAGTCCCATGGTTCTCAGCCTCTCTTCGTAAGGCCTGTTCTCCTGCTCTCTGATCGTGCGCGTGTTTTTGAACCCGAAAGCTTGCTTAATAACTATTCTCCAACCATTTGGGTTGGTCTAATAAAAGATATCAGATTCACCCAAGGAACCTTGTCTGCCTATGTCCTTAGACCAACATGGCTACAACCTACACCCCTGTCAGCCTGGCTGCATTCTTGGATCTTAGACATGTGATTTCACATCTGGCTGCATGAAAATTCTTGTTCTCTCCCAAGTCCCAAAACTGGGTATTGTAGTTCTCTCAGGTAGGGTTGGAAAACTCTGCCAGGACTGCTCTGTGGCTCAGTTTCCCCCAGTGCAAAAAAGAATGACCACCGTTTCATTGTGTGCCTTTAGCATTTCTGCTCTGTGATCATCAAGCAATGATCTGTGTGGGTCTGTCTATGCACCCACACAACAGGAGCCTGGATCCAGTGTTGGTGTGTGCAGTACCCAACTCAGTACAGCCCTGATCAGAGCAGAAGTTCTGGTATAAGGAACCCTGTCTCAGCCACCATATTTAAATGGGACAGTTAATGCCAATAATTCTCATTTTTCTAGGTGATGAGGATCTCTATAAGGCACTAGTGGTTGCTGGGAGAGGAAGGGACTTAGGAACAGTGATGGGAGGGAGAGTTGGGGAGGATAGGGGAGAGGAGGAGAGGGGATGGGAATGGTTTTGGATAGATGACAGCATTGGGTGGGTGGTTTATCCTTCTCCCCTATGACTGTCTCCATCCATGTCACCTATCCCTTCCCCTCCGCAGGTGGATTGAGTAGATCTGAGGAAGCCATGTCTCCCAGGGGACCCCATGCCACCCCACTGGTGATGTTCCTGATGCTGACCCTGATGTCTTCCTGGATGACCGTGGACGACAGGGAGTCACAATACCAGGCGTTCCAGAGGCAGCACATTGATGAGCCCTCACACCCGCCATTCAATGATGTCTACTGCAGCACGAGAATGAAATGCCAGTCGATGACCACTCCTACATGCAAGTCCTTCAACACCTTCATCCATGCAGATTCATCAGTAAGAGCTGTCTGAACACGGACCAGGAACAACAGGCCCAACAATAGATATTACAGCAATGACAACTTTTATGTCACCAACTGCAAATTTATAAGAAAGGACTGACAGCAAGCCTGTGTGTACCATGCAACCACCATCTCCCGGAGAATCTGCATAACTTGTGAGCAAGTCCAGGGAGCTGGACTGGTGTCTGTTCACTATAAAATAATAGAATCAATGGACTGGTAGGGACCTGGAAGATCATCAAGTCTGGTTCCCTGCTATAGGCAGGAGGTTCATGAGCTCAAACTAGCTCAACGAGGTGCTTATCCAGCCTCTTCTTGAACACTATGGCAAATACAAAAGAGTGCTTCCCCTGTGTGGTGACAAGGACTGTACATGCCTGCCCAAGCCCTGGGAGCCCTGTCTGACCCTAAAGGGAGAGGGCAGAGAGCCCCAAGGGATAGGGGGTACTCACTGGAGCCTGGACCGGTGCAACACACAGTACCTCTGTGCCACTTTTTGAGCTTGCTATCAACCAAGTCTGGCAGTGCCTGGCTGATGACATCAGCTGCAGGCACCACTGCAGGGAATTTAAAAGGCAATGGCAGTGCCTAGGAGAGAAGAGCAGGTAGGGACCCAACACTGGAATGACTGAGCCTAGGTGTGGAGGATGCCACAGGACACCAGGCTGTGGGGCACCTGAGCTGCTGGGTCCCCATGAAAGTAGGGACAGGGAAACCCAGGGAGCCACTGCCTGACTCCCTGCCCTGCCTCAGATCCCTTGCTACCTCCATAAAAGGGAGGTTTAGAGAGGAGCTAGCCAGAGGGGTTTGGCTGAGCCCTTCATAGCCACCCCCTTTCTTGTGTTCCTTTATTTTTTACTTTATTTTTGTTTTGTAAGACCCATGAGGCCAACAATTTAGGACTCCTTCTAGTGAAGGCAAAGCTCAGGGCGGGAGGCCTTGAGATTAGGGAAAAAGTAAGTAATGGAAAGGAAGCCTAGTAGGTCCCACCATGTCCAGAGGCTGCCCACTGGGGAACCGGGCAACAGAATACCTGTCAGCGATGGATAAGTGGGGCCAGAAAGCCGAAACAGCTGCTACAGGCTGTAAAGTGTCAACACCTGCAGTTGGAGAGTGGACAGGGTGTAGGGGAGGTGGAACCCCAAGTCAGCCGCAACTGAACCATGAGTACCCCAACAGGGGCACCTCTGTTACATCACTGAACCCTCCTTAAATTTTTTGATGCCATCAAGACATGGCAGGAAAGTTGGGGAAGGGCTCTGCTTCGGGTATTCAACAGATCATTTATCAGCTAAGCAGCAGTGTGTCACCCTAGTAGCCAAGGGTGGGGCAGGCCTTGACCCCACTGGATCCTTCAGCTTTCACTTGGAGTAAAGTGCCTGGTCTCAGAGGCCCCAAATCCACTCCATTCTCTAGTTACATTCAGAGGCACAACAGAGCAGCTGGGCTCACAGGGCAGTGACAGCGCAGTAGGGAAGCAGTGATTTCTGGCTGCCAGTGACCTTGATGTGGTTGCACGGTTTTGGCAGCCACAGTTATTCCCCTGCCCCAAATTAGCACATGGGGCTGTTGCCCATCTCCCCTCCTTAGTCACACTACTAGTTACATTGTCCAAGTTCCACTTCATCTGTCCCACCAGCACCTAGTTTACAGAACGGTCACTCCCAGCCCGTCCATCCTCCTCTTTTGGCCCCTAGTGCCCAATATGCAGAACAGCATCTCCCCCCATCCCAAATCCAGAGGCAACAGGAATGTGTGCCCAATCCTCCAGCATCCTGATGAGTGCTCAAAGCTGTTACTGAGTTAAACCTTCTTGCTGTTTTTTGCAATAAATAGCTGCAAGTGCAAACTAGCCTGAACACTCTGTGTGTGTGTGTGTGTGTGTGTGTGTGTGTGTGTGTGGAAGGGCAGGGGTCTTGGTACATAATAATTCATTTTCTCTTCCCAAGAGGTGGAAAGTGGTATGTTTCCTACACTGGGGGTTTCCCCTTCCCTGCAGAAACAATAGGAAGGCTTAACCTAACGCTGCCTGCTGTGTATGAGGGCGCTTGAGTCAACCCTACTCAGCAGGCTCCATTCCACATCTCCATCCAGCTCCATGAACACCTTGCTCCAGACCATGACCAAGGAGACATTACAGTCCCTCTTACTAGAGATAGATTTCCTGCTCCATGCTATTCGCCGGCCCTCATGGCTATGATTCCTGAGTGTGAAGTTCCTTCCTGTACAGTACGGAGGTGGACTTCCCCTTCACCTGCAGCTAGGAGGGTGAACAGAGGGGACCTGGGTGTCCCGGGGGATCATGGATGCAAGAAGCAGTACCTGCATCTTAGATCTGGGAAACAAAGCCATGCATACAGGGAGTGACTTCCTCAAGGCCTCAGAAAGCAGAGTCTCCGCCCCCCACTCCCACCATGGGAAAGAATGCACGTGTCCTGATTTCCCCCACCCCGCTCCCAGTCTAGCTATTATGTAAATGCTCCTCTATTATTTATGTGTTTATTTTTCTTATTTGATTTATATATCACCTTCCCCAGAAAAGGCTCAGGGTAGCGCACAATAAAAAACAAGAGCCATTAAAAACAGATAGAATATTAAAATAAGTAATAAACAACGTACAAAGCATGGAAGCCCTCTTTGGAGCAAAGGCAAATTGCCAACAGCCAGAATCCAGGGCTTTCTCCTGTCTAAGGCAATAACTATTCTATTGGTCTATGGAATTAGGCTCTCTCTTTCCTTCTAGTCTAGGCAGGATGGGGTGGTTTGTGACACAATGGAGTGTGGGGCAGATCTACAAGGGGGGGGGGTGCAGTAGGAGAAGCCCCCTCCGAAGCAGGGGTGTGGGGCAGGTGCTCAAGATGTCATTTTCCATGCAGTGCTGAAGCATCTTTATTTTTCTTCCTATTTGATTTTTGTGTAATGAGGGTGGAAAGGGAACTGGGAAGCAGGGTGTTCAGAGATTTCTAGGACTTCTCTGCACCTAATATCAGCCCCAGGCCCCAGAAGCACCTGAAGGAGTGGGACCTGCAGGCAGCAGTTGGACTCTCAGCAGCACGGCGTGCTACCAGCAGGAGAGGCTCCTGCTGGGCTCCAGGATCCCCTACGAGAGGCTCCCCAGCTCCAGCAAAGACAGTGACCTGAGAGGTTCCCAGCTCTGCTTCCAGCTCCTCCAATAAGAGGCCAGGCAGCTCGTCGTGAGGCAGGGGATCTGGGAAGGTCAAGACCCCTAGCAGCCTGGAGTAGTGCCAGCACTGATGGCTGTATGGTAGAGTTTCTGCCTACCATGTGAGAGATCTGAATTCAAGTCCTAGCTTTGGTGACTTGGGGTGAGTGAAGTAACAGGGAGAGTTCCTTGTTGCAGTGGAAAGGGGTCATTGTGTTTTCCCTCTTTCCCCCCCTCCAGGTACCTAGGCCCTATATTCCTTGTTATTTGACATTTTGTATTATTTGCCTTTTATATTTCACCAACCAGTATTGTTTGTTCTGCTGTTTGTGTTTTATATTTTGTCAACCCTGTCTTTTGTCAACTGGATGAATATGTCTATGATTGTAAGTGTCTAACCTTTGTTGAATCCTGCCCCCTTGGGGCATTGTAGTGTCCCCTATACCCCCTGGTTTATGCCTGTTATGTTCCCAGTACTGTTCTCTCATTAAAAGGTATATGGTTAAGGCCCCAGTGGTGGTCTGGTTCTGCTCTATAGGGGAAGGAGAGTCCCTATACCTCCCACAGCGCTTGTGCACCTGCTTTGATCCCTTGAATTGGAGAGGGGGTACCTCTTGGAGTACCGCCTGGGTTATACTTGGAGGCTTTTAAGACCCAGGTAGACAAAGTTTTGTCTGGGATGAGGTAATTAGGGATAATCCTGCTTTGAACAGGAGGTTGGATTAGATAACTTTCTACAGTCCCTTCCAATCTTAATTTTCCATGATTCTATAATTCAAATAATGGATATGTTTTGTTTCAGTTAAGTTGAAATATTTAATTCAAATGTTGACCCTCTTCAACTTTGAGGGCATTTTTTCTTATTTTATTATAAATGTATTTGGTAATTTTTTTCTCCCACAATATGTCTTTGGAACATTCTCATCTGGAATGTCCGTGTTTTATATGATCAGAACAGCCTAGGTCACTTGTCTCTGGAAGAATTCCCATGCTCTTCACAGTGTTTTGATTCTGAGGAAACCATCCTTTCCCCGCACAAATCCGTCTTGGAGAAAGGGTCCTGACCGACTCTGCTCTGGGATTGTGCAGGGGCAAGCCATGCTAACCTGCAGTAGCCTCTTTGTTGGTTCAGCTCATGCTCTTACAGGGCTGAGCACATGTATGGAGCACATGGTGGAGGCCAGCACTCACAGGACGTACTGTGCTGCATGCAGTGCCAGGTGCCAGGGCTCACTGGGCCAATGTACTAGTTTGGGGAACTTGAAACCATGGCTGATCTTAGCCACATTGTACCAACGGTCATTTTAAAAAGTCTCCATTGGATCCCCTGACGGAGGCAAAAGAGAGCAGCCTCAGTTGTGCTCACCTACTGCCCCATCCACAACTGACTCAGTCTTAAATTGCAGTCACATTGCCCCGAGATCTTTCAAGAATGAACCCTACGAGAGTGTCCAGACTGGGCAGCAGGGGAGTGGGGGGTGGCCTGAATGTTCTGGTTGGTGCCTTTTGTTGTGCCTTCACAGTGGTGGCGGGGAGTAAAGTAGCAGAAAGACCAGCTCACGTGGGTGGTAACTTTATTGTTCTGGACAGAAACCAAAACCAATGCCTAAAGAGGCAGACCCTAACCCCATTTTAAAAAAACAGTACCATATGTAGCAGGCTCACCTTTTAGAGCTTGGGTTGAGTCCCAGGCTTGATATCTTACTGTTTTCATTGGTGGAGCCCATCCACCAATCAGGAGGCAGCAGGAGAAATAAAGTCACGCCCCTTTCCTGAGGGGAGGGGGAGAAGAGCTCTCCCTGACCTGGTTGAAGACTGCAAACTTTCAGGTC